AAAGCCTCTGTTTGCCAGTCTAGTACAAGTTAACTTAGGAGAGGGAAAATAAAGGAGTAAATCAAATCAAAGGCAAATTTTATTAGTAACTTAATCCTGAAAACAGTTCCTACTCTGTTGTATTTTATTATGGGACAGTAATTTCCTGCAAGTACTGTGTATATATCACTTCTATAATATAGTGTTGCTGTTGTATACTGTAAAAACAAACCACCAAAACAAACAAACAAATCCACCTGTGGCTAGTTAGTTTACTTACTAGAGTATAGTTTTGTCCCTGTTCTCTGTCAAACTGTGACTGCTCTGGTGTCAGTGGTAGGAGTTGCTGAACCTGTTTAGTAAAGATTAAGTAGTAAATTAAAATGTTTAACTGCAATTACTGTTTTATTTATTTTACAGATTACTGTTCAAGTAAATTTGCAGCAGTGGGTTTTGCAGAGTCAGTTGATTCAGAGATGAGAAATCTGGGAAAGACTGGTGTTAAAACCACAATTGTGTGTCCTTACATCATAAACACGGGAATGTTTGATGGCTGCAGAACCAAGTGAGTAGATTCTTGTGAGGGATTTATGCAACTTGCACATCTAGCATGTTATGTACTCCTATTTCCTTTATGAAAATCATGAGATAGGCTTTTCTGTGTGTTACTTTTAGGGCGTTAACTGCTATCCAGTGACTGGGCAACCCAAATGGCAAAGCCTTTGGTACTTTACTGTTCATTTAAGCTGAAATGTGAAACATAATTGGTGTCCTTTCCTCTACAGAAGCCAAATACTCCAGTTATCCTCTCTGGTTTCTAAACCCCTGTTCAACTCCTGAAATCAGTGGCACAGCTTTGCTCAGTATGCTTGTATAACGACAAATGTGGGAGCCCAATCAAAGCCTAGTTAGTATGTCTTAATCTGGATTTGTTTTATGAGAGACCCTACAAAGGGAAAATAACAATGGCCGCTCACTCTCTAACATAACGAAGGTTCTGCTGTTTATAGGATTTGTGGTATTTATTTCTTCTTTTAGTTGAATAACTGCAAAATGGAGACTTATTTTGAGTAAGATGTGAATCCAAAGCAATTTGTATTATAGTAAGAAATGTCTTCTCTTCCAGGTGGCCACGTCTGCTTCCCACTCTAGATCCAGAGTATGTGGCTGAGAAGATAGTCACTGCTGTTCGTCAGGACCAAGAAATACTGCTGCTACCACGCAGTCTTTATTTTTTATTTGCTTTGAAAAAGTAAGTTATGCCTTTCCTTCTTTTCCTCTCTCTCTTTTTTATCCAGGGATGTTTCAGCTATATTTTTGACTAAAAGTGCAAACCAGGCTTCTGCTTGGTGTACATTTTCATTAAATTCTGCATGTTTCTGGAGGGGTGTTTTGTTTGTTTCTAGGGGTTCGGTCTACCCTTGGACCACAGAACAATAACAGAAATGTCTAACTGTGACTTGCTGATTCCAGTGGGGTGCAGTTTTACTGTGGGCTGTAGAGTCGGGGCCTGCTCCTCAGTAACTGCATATCTTGGGTCTTGCCCCAGCATTAGGGCACTTCTGGCTCCGTTGCGAGCCAGGTTGGGAAATTGAGCTAATAACTCAGGCTGCCAAATGAGTGTAATGGCTGTTCTGAGAGGACCAGTGGTACTCTGTTCTAGAGAGCAGACTGTCTTTGCTAGTGTCGTGGTTTTGCCGCAGCTGGCAGCTAAACACCACATAGCCACTCGCTCATTCCTCCTCCCCCCCAAGGGGATGGGGAGGAGAATGAGAAAAACTTGTGGGTTGAGATAAAGACAGTCTAATAGGATAACAAAAGACATTAGTAATAATTATTATAATAAAACAAGTGATGCACAAATGCAATCGCTCACCACATGCGGAAAGGAAAAAACCAGACCAACCTGATGCCAGATCTGTTTCTGAGCAGCAATCCTGCCTCCCGGCTCGCTTCCCCAGTTCCATATGGAGCAAGACGTTATACAGCAGGGAATATCCCTTTGGCCAGTCTGGGCCAGTTGTCCTGGCTGTGCTCTCCCAGCTTCTTGTGCACCTGGCAGGGCGTGGGAACCTGAAAAGGCCTTGACTTAGTGTAGGGACTACAGCTACCTAGCAACAACTAAAATGTCAGTGTGTTAATGTTATTCTTGTCCTAAATCCAAAACAGAGCACTATAGCAGCTACTAGAAAGAAAATTAACTCTCTCAGCTGAAACTAGGACAGCCAGTATTAGCCAGGTTAAACTAATCCTGTGATAAACTGCATAACTCTTCTGATGTCTGGGTTTTCTGTTGGTTTTTTTGTTGTGTTTTTTTCTTCAACTCCTCTACCTTACAGTATCCTACCAGTGAAAACAAGTGTTCTCATTGCGGATTATTTGGGAAACCCCAACATCATGGATAACTTTAAAGGTCGAGCGAAGAAGGACTGAAAAAGCACAAAATTCAGAGATCAGCAACTCTAAAGTGGACCTTGTTAAAGGTGGTGGTGGGAAAGGTCTTCCTCTCTAGCAGCTCTGAACTTAAGGTGCCTCACTTCTCATTAGTAACAATTTTTAAGGAAATTGATTTTCAATTGGTTCTTAATCAACAGCTTTCACTCAAACTTTTTTAAATCTAGTGAACTGTTTGCTTTTCACCTCATTATGGAGATACATTAACTGAAATTAGTTCCTTTGGTTATGTCTGTTATAATGCCTTAAATACAATCCTGCATCGCAAACTAGCAGGTTTGGGGGGGAGAAGAGACCAAGAAACCAAGTGTACTTGGCAGGGAGCCAGGAAAGCCTGTAGTGGACCTGCCATTCACTGAACCATGAGGAGGGGCTGTACTGCTGCTGCCATTGCCATTCCCTGGTAAGCTGAGGAATTAAAGAGTTTCCTGACACAACAGATCTGAATTTATACAAATGGAAGTTTTATGAAACGAAAATTTGTGCTGTGTTGGTGCAAAACCAATGAAATACTAATTTTTGGAGGTGGTGATCTCAGGTCTCACAGATGACTATGGATGTTGGGGAGGGGGGAAGGATATATATTATTTTATTGGGTCTGGCTGAGATGGAGTTAATTCTCCCCACAGCAGCCCTCAGTGCTGTGCTGTGCATTGGTAGCCAGCCAGGTGTTGGTAACACACTGGTGGTATTGCTACTGCTGAGCAGTGCCAGCGCACATGAAGGCTGTTTTGCCACTGTTTCTCCCCCCCTCAGCAGTAGGCTGGGGGTGGGCTAGATCTTGGGAGTGGACACAGCCAGGACAGCTGACCCCAACTGAACAAAGGGATATTCTGTACCATATGACATCTGCCCAGCAATAAGAAACTGAGAGAGAGGGGGAGGAACAGGGTGGCAGCATTTGGTGGGTTTTTTTGTTTGTTGGTTGGTTTTTGGTTTTGTGGTGTTTTGTTTGGGGTTGGTTGTCTTTTTTTTACAACATTTGTCTTCTGGAGTAACCACTAGGCACACTGAAGCCCTGCTTCCCAGGAAGTGGCTGGACATCACCTGCTGATGGGAAGTAGAGAATAAATCTTTTGCTCTTTGCTTTGCTTCTGTGCATGGCCTTTTGCTTTTCTTACATTAAACTGCCTTTATCTTGACCCACGAGTTTGGTTTTTTCCATCTTATTTTTCTCCCCTCCCTGCCTTGCTGAGGAGGGGAGTGATAGAGCAGCTTGGTGAGCACTTGGCCTCCAGCCAAGGTTAAACCACCACAATTATGTATTTGTGTTGCTCATCTACTTTTTGTCTAATTTATTTTAAAAGTTAATACTATGACTGCAACTTTGTAGTAGAAGTCTTTGTATCTTCTAAGTGCAATATTTTAAGAACAACTTTAAATTTTCATCTCCTAAGCAGAATAAACTTGTAGTTATAAAGCATAAGACTGTCAGTCAAGGTGGACCATCAAACATCTTGCCAAGTCAGATAGTGAGCTACTAAACCCAAAGATATTACATTGTATAATCCGGGTTTCTCTTGGGATTATTTCAGAAAGGAATGATGCTGGCAGAACTGCAGTGAATGGGATCATTACAGCCGTAGCTTGGGTAACAGCATTATGTTTTGCTTCTTTGAATTGGGCAGCAGGTTGCCTTGTGTCTATAGAGATTTGTTTTACTTTCCCTTTACTCTTAGGACTGTCCATTTATTTTGGACCTATGCTGAGGAGGCCTTGCCCTTTTTGACAATGGCCACCAAGAAAACTGAAAGTCCCCTTGACTTTTGGTAAATCCAAAACAAGAAAAAGGAATATTATACCTTAAATGTATGTCATTTATGCATGTGCTGGCTAAGCCCACCTCATGTCATGATACTCTTGGCAATTGGTAACACCTGCAAACTAAGACTAAAATGCATGAGCATGAAATTAATTGAAGGACAGAATAGAGAAATGGGTGTTTTGGTTTTTTCCCCATGATGGCCTAGAAAGTACCTTAATTTCCCTTGTCTATACAGTTAGTGAGGTTTACCAACAGAGAAAGGTTTACAAAGAACTGCTTTACTACTGATGAGCAATAAACACTGAGGAAAATAAGTGTGTTGAAAATAGTCTTACCTTTATGATGGATTGATGAGAGTTAGACTGATGAAGAAAAGATTCATCTTACTGTCCTTTCACATCTGCATCTTTCCTACTTCAGAAATTCTGCTCATTTTACAGTACACTTTGGGAAATTAAAGTTACTAATTAAAAAACAGATACTGCCTAAATGTGCTGTCCATACATACATTGCACTGCTCACAAAGTCAATCACTAATAACTATGTGGTGTACCTGTGTCTTGTAGACTCCTTGCCTTTTTATACTAACAAAGCACATTTTTCCTCCTAAATACGAAATACTAGGTGTGCAGGATTCTGGAGCAAAGGAGGAGTGCATTATACATATGAACAGTGTGTATCAAACTCCAGCTTGTCTGAGATCAAGTAGTTTTTCATTCTTGGTGTCTCTCTGAACATGTTCTGCTGAGGGAAACTGAAAGCAGTGAGTCTGGCTGTGGGATTTGTGGATTCTCAGCAGGTTCAGGTTTGTTATGCCACTAGGAGGATCTTACCTGATAATGTGTGCCAGAGAAGTACATCTCCATAGGGATTTTACTATGTCACAGAATCATTGAACTTGGAAAGAACCTCTACTCAGAGCAAGGTTAATTAGAGCCAGTTGCTCAGTACTGTGTGCAGTCATGTTTTGAGTATCTCTAAGGCTGGAGACTCTACAACTTCTTTGGGCAACCTGTTCCAGTGATTGCTTGCACTCAGTTTAAAAACAAATAAATGAAAATTGCATTTAAATTGAATGTACTTTTTTCAATTTGTGCCCATTGCCTCCTGTCCTTTCAGTAGATACCACTAAGAGCCAGGCTCTGTATGTTACACCTTCCCATCAGGTTCTGATGCACACTGAGCCTGAGCCTTTTCTCTAGACTGAGCAGTTCCAGCTCTTCACCTCTCCTTGTATGACAGGTGCTCCAGTACTTCACTTGTCTTTGTGGCCCTTCACTGGACTCACTGCAGTGTGTTCACCTTTTAGAGAACAAGTTCTGTAATAGGTTAAGTGTGCCTAATCTGTCATACAGAGCTTCACTAGAAAATCTCTGCTAGCTAGCTGTCCTGGTAGGAGCACACAAATACTGCTTTCATGCAAGTGTGCTGCTACTACTTGGAATATTATGGTCACTGTCATGTTACTTTGTGTGGCTGGAGGATAATTGCGTATCCTGTTGGTGGTTTCGATCTCCCACATTTCCTGAGATGGCATGACAGATACATAGAGTTGTATCATGGAGGTTAAGCAGCACAAATCTGTCCCCTGTGTTCAGGAGGTGGTATGGGGGGAGTGTTTGAATCTTCAAGTGATTCAAGTGAGATAAAAGATGGCTTACTTCTAGCTTAACAGTGATTGATTACTTTCCTAATGCCAAAAACGATTCTCTCCTGCTCTCAGCAAGAAAACTCCTCACAGAAGGATTGCTGTAAGATCCAAACAAGAAGATGGAACGTGAACTGGAAGAGCATCTCAGCTGTGACAGCATCATGTCTCACAACAGCAGGGGACTGCTTTCTGAAGTACATCAGGCAGCTCCCACAAAGGAATTCTTGGTTTCATGACCATTGCTTGAAACTTTTAATAGTCTCTAACAAAATGACTGGGATGGCTGCATTGGCTTGACAATCACTGATACAGTGATTCAGGGACAGTCCAGAGCATGGCGTTTTGTTGCCTGTTGCGTTTCTTTTCCATGTGAGTTATATTCCTGCGGTAACAGAAATCTTAACTATCCTCTAATGCTTCAAAGCATAGATAATGTAATTTTTCTTGGCACTAACTTGATCCTCTGAACAAGACTGAGGAGGAAAACAATAAAAAAAATAGCAGTTGAGATACAGGCTATATATCTAGAAGAGGGTGTCCCTGTCTAGGGCAGGGGGTTGGAACTAGGTGATCTTTAAGGTCCCTTCCACTCCAAACCATTCTGTGATTCTATGGTTTTATGAATTTGGAAATCATACCCAAGAGCAATATGTAGCTGCTTGGAAGCTGGTCTTCATGGTGGTCTGATCTCAATTTCAAGAAGGAACCAAATCTCTTTTTCTGGTAACTCTTCTAGTAGCAGTTGATCTTCTCAAGACACCTACGTGGACTCCATGCTTTGCTAAGCAGCTGTCCAAAACCATAGGTTTTGCAAAATAAATCAAAATAAAACAAAATAACTTAGTTTATCCAAATGAGTTTTTCTTCATTGTGACAATCAGGAGAGTCAGGTTTGGATCCACAGCTATCAGATATTCCAGGAGAATGCACTGTCTCTCCAGTGAGACTTAGCAGGGTCATTGGTGCTTCAATAGGTGGGGGAGAATTACAGGCAGTGGCTTTTGTTCACTCAGTGTATAACACAGTTTCTCTGTAGTCCTAGGTATCTCTCTGCCAAAGCCACCAAGCTTGCAGCCTGAAGTTCTGCAGTTAGCATGTACCTGAGGAAAACAGCTTTGTCTAGGGAAGAAGGGTGAAAAAAACCTTCACACCTTCTTCCCTTGCCCTTGGCACTATTCACACTAGGAATAAGAGTGTCCTCATGATCTGGACACAATGTACAAAAGGGTATGACAAATGCATAGACTATATGCTAAGGTGCCTTGCAGTGTTGGGTCTGCTGGCTAGTTACAACAAACCTTGATTATTGGTATAGCTGTGTTGAGAGATGTCACATTTATCTAAGGTGGTGAATAACTACATCTATCTAAGGAAACACGGTTCTGCAGGACTTGTTCTGGGATAGTCTCCCAGACTCCTTGCCCAGGAGGGAAGAACTATAGAAAAGACCCAGGAGAGGCAGAGCCCTAAGACAGGGTCTGGCATATTCTGACACTTCCTCCTCTCCATGTCTTGAGGTCTAGAGGCAGCATCCCTGGCTGTGGTGCAGAAAAAATCAGCAGA